TTTATAAGTGAGTTGCAACTTTATTCGTAAAACCCTACCTTCTTGAGTAGCATGCACTTGCCAAGGTTGTCCTCTTCATTTTGCTGGGTTGTTGTCTAGGTTATCGTCTTCGTTTTGCTCGATTTATTCTTAAGCACATAATATGGGTGTCGACACCATGGGTTAATAGTCCAAAATCAAACTTTCTGTTTCTTGTTTTGTGTCGATACGTAATTCAGAGTGTTAACATTATACGTTCAGCATCGAACATTCAAGTTTCTTATTCTGTTTCAAATCCTACTTCTATTTCAATTAGGGTTTCTAAAACCTTATAAATACCCATCCAAATTCAGAATTAAAAGAGCTTGGGAGGCTGATGGCAGCCCTCTTTTGGGTATTCTTGGAAATCAAGATAAGGATTTAAGAATTTGTTTATAATTTCTAAATCTTTTTAATTTTTACAATTGTAAAAGAGTATAAGAATTTATTTATAATTTGTACTTTTTTTAATTATTTAGATATTAACGTATTTTATATTTATGTTTTTTACTTAATGTTAAATTTATTTACATATATATTTAATAGTGTTAAAAACCGATCAATCCGACCGAACCATACCGATCCGATTTAAATTGGATTGGTTTGGTTATCATATAATAGTGGATTGGATTGATTTAAAAATTTTACTAACCGATTAAATTGGATTGGATTAAAAAATGTTAAAATTCGAACCAAACCACCCCGCGAACACCCCTAATATTTAGGTCATTGGAAGAAATTAAAAAAATGCTTGTTGGACAAATTTAATAGAAAAAATTGAATAATTAAGAATGATAAAAGTGTAAAAAATAGTTTAGGGATTAAAATTGTTCAAAATTATAATTTAATAGACTAAATTCGGCATTTATCCAATGCATTATGTTAACCTTTTGGATTTTTTTTTTTTTATAAAAGTTTTAGGAAGTGTCAAAAAAAATTATAAGAAAATATTTTCTCTTTGTCATGAATGACTTACAATTTATATAAAACTTTTAAATGTGTTTATTGATCCCTATTTTATATATAAAAAAGGTTGTGCATTGTAGTCCTCAACTCTCACAAAAATTAGAGTCATATTGTGTCTTG